GCCCCCCCCCCCCCCTTCATATCAATCATTGTTTTTTACCTGATAACTCCGCTCTTCTCTCCATACTCGTCCGTGAGAAACCCTCTAAGCTGAGCATAAAAAATATCGTCTAAAAAATTACTTTTTTAGAAATTTTCTATTGAAAATGTTTATATTTCACTTGATATTTCAGTAAGAAATAATTTTATATTTCTTTTGAAAAAGTTTATATTTCACATGATATTTCAGTTAGTCAATAAAATTCCATTAAACCTGGTAGCAAATATAACATGGACAGAAAATCCCCATGTTGTTACTGTAAACAATTAGAAGCACAATGTCAACTATCAATAAAAGGAAAATCTATTTTTCTGTTTATTCTAATAATCACAAAACATTATTTAATTAGTTTTAACCAAGGAATCACTAGGAAATCATGTGTGTAAGGTATTTTATATTTAGGGGTATATGTTTCTTGGAAAATCATTCCCCCCCCCTCAATAATTTTAATAGTTTTATTTGCTGCCTTGCAGAAAACAAATGAATTCTTAGGTAGAAGGTTTCAAAATGGCGTAAAAATATGGAAGCATCGAAAACCAATTTCTTGAAAAAATAATCCCCTGTTTATATTCTAGAAACCCTTTAGCAATAAATATTTTCAAAAAAAAAACTTTAGTTAGTGGTAAATATAAACTTTAGTTAGTAGTAAATATTGTCTAAAAAAACTTAAGTTACCAATAAATATTTTCCTAAAATTAAATGATTTTTCTAATTTACCTGAAATATCTGTGACCGAAACTATATCTCCGACCATAAAGAACTCACCCTAAATAGTTATTATTATTATTAAAGAACAAGGGGTCAGCACTTGTGTTCACAATAGTGTTCTTTTTTATTTTTAGGATGTATTTTTACTATTCTTTTTTAATATCGTTACATTACAACATATAATTCTTTTTATTTTAAATAATGATGATAAAAAACAACTTGCATTTTATTTCTGCGTATTTATAGTTATGTTTATTGATTAATGATAATTTCAAAATTGTATAGGAAAAATAAAAAACTCTAGCAGGGCTGTATATTTCATTGGAAAATCATCCCCCCCAGGAAACTATTTTCGGGGGGTTTATTCGTTAAATTAGAGAAAATAAATGATATTTGGGTAATAAGTTTCAAAAATGATAATAAATTTGTCTTTTGATGTACGAATTTTCATTCCCCCCCCCCCCCTCCCCCCAAGGACAAGAAATCTTTTCCCCCCTGTGACCTTGTAGTATATTTTGTCCGAGGTGACGGGGGTTGGAACAGTATTTAAACTTTTTATAGGTTTCTTCTTCGCAACACTTCTCCTCCCTCGGCCCTGCAACAGTTTTAGGATTTTTTTTTAATTTCTTTATTTTCAGTCTTTTGATTTAAAAGAAATAGTTCACGCTCATTGTTTGGTCCGTGTATTGCAGATTACTGTAGTACGCATAGTATAGAATGAGTTTATCAAAATTAAGTTCTTTAAATGCAAGCTAGCAACAAGAAACATCAAAATATATTTAATATTAAAAATTATAAACAATAAATTACGTCCTACTAAAAAGAAAAGAAATGTATGAATCAAATTAAAAATATGAAAAATTTCAAGAATGTTTAGGAATTTAGCAGAAGAAATTCTAAACTAATTCGTAATTATTACAGCATGATTGTTTACCTTGCTAGATCTGGTGCTTAGTCCAACTTTTTTAATATTTCCTCTTGAAACCTGAATAAAGTAAACTGGAGAGAATATCGTCTTCATTTTAAGAATGATTTGATATTTCAGAAGACTGAGAAGAGATTAATTCCTCAATTGAGTTAGCTATCCCCAAAATTAAAAAGTGCAAACGACGATTTACGAATTGAAAGGAATAAGACAAAATTTGGTCAATTTTTTCCTTGTATTTGCTGAAATGATGAAACTATAAAAAGAAATTATAAAAACCAAGATACTTTTGTAAATTCTTAATGGCGCGTATATACTTAAAATTGAACAAGAAATAAGTATGAGTAAAAATGAGTTTTTGAAAATAATCCCAATTACAATTTTACCAATATTATAAGATTTCGATTATTCTGACCTTTAGAGACATGGTTGGGCGGAGTGTTCAAATATTATTCTTAGTTCAAAAACTTGTGATAAATAGATGAATAAAGAAATAAGTTTTGGAATGGAATTAAAAAAAACATTAACAGTTAAAGAGATTGTATACGTAATCTCAACTGACCCTTAAAGGGAGTGACCGGCAATGAAGGCTAGTTGAACTGAGAATTCAGTATTATTGAGAATTATTTTAGGATTCATTTGAGCCCTATCAGACGTTTTTACGGTGCATAATTGTTCAGCAAGAACGCAAATTCAATTTTTAAAATCCTCACTGATTGTCCATTTTGGAGGGATGATTTTGAGAATTGGTTTCTTAAAAATTATTCAAAAACGATAAAGAAAAATGTAAAAAAAAATTTCTACAGTTAACTAATTAGATGTTCAGGAACATATTTCTTATTAGAAATTTGCCAATAAATCAATGTGAGAATCAATTGTTTCTTTTTCTTCTTTATATTGATTTTCTTATTTTTTAAGAATTTGTTCGCAGATTTCTTTAAATTCTTCAAATGATAGGAGTTAATTTTTGAATTTCTCAACCTGTTCCTAAACAACTAATTAGTTTACTGTAGAATTTAATGTTACATTTTTCGTGATCGTTTTTGAGTAATTTACATATAACCTATTCTCAAAATCATCCTTCCAAAATGGACAATCTCTGAGGATTTTAAAGATTGTATTTGCACTCATGCTGAACAAATATGCAGCGTAAAAACGTCTGATAGGTCTCAAATGAATCCTAAAACAATTCTCAATAAATAATACTGCAATCTCAGTTCAATCATCATACGTTGCCGGTCACTCCCTTTAATTCATAGCGCAACATGTCCGATTTATAACGGTACCCTTTGTCTGATCAAGGTTAAACATAATATACTTATTTGTCTGTCTTAAAATTGATTTTTTTTATTGTGGTTTTTCAAAAAAGTAACAGGCGCATTTCAGAGATATGAAGGAAATGTGAAGAAATAAAGTGTTTTAGGATAAAAACTGTCAACATCTTCCTTATTTATACTCAGCGGTTTAAAGGGCACCGTTGTGAATCGGACCGGCAAATTAATTTGGTAGTGGGTCAATTGAAATTACGTGAACAGTCTCTTTCAGCTTCAAATATACCTTCGTGGCTTTTCTCCCTTTGTTCCTCAGGTTTCGCGTGACGACCCCGGAGTTAACAGATTCTCTAAATAAAAAAAAAACGTTAAAGTCAAATAAACTTCTGAATACTTAAAAATTTTCCAAACGTCTTCCACTCTTCTACAGATTAAATATTTTAACACTTCTTCCGACGGCGTTTTCAATCACAAAAATTCCGACATTTGCTTTAGAGATTTATTATTTTAAAAAATCTTTTATCTGATTCTAAACTTTTCCCCCGCCTCCGATCTTTTATTTGTTTCTAAAATATTTCCCCCGCCTCCAATCTTTAATCTGATTCTAAAATATTTCCCCCGCCTCCGATCTTTTATTTGTTTATAAAATATTTCCCCCGCCTCCAATCTTGTATCTGCCTCTAAAATATTTCCCCCGCCTCCAATTAATCTGTTTCTAAAATATTTCCCCCCGCTTTCGATCTTTTATCTGTTTCAGAAATATTTCCCCCACATTCGATCTTTTATCTGTTTCTAAAATATTTCCCCGCCTCCGATCTTATACCTGTCAGAAATATTTTCCCCGGCCTCTGATCGCCCTCCACTTAAACAATTTAACAGTTCAAAGTTGTTTTTATCTCAATTTAAAATGTATTGTATATTTTTATAAAATATGTTTGGATTGAAAGTTTTGTCTGGTTTCAATGTATTCAGGGAAAATAACAGAAATGAAAAGCAAAAGAAAATCAAAGATTTCAAAATTAGCCATTTCTAAATGACTTTAAAATGTATTCCTAATGACAGAACCCTCCGCCGCTCTTAACCTCTCCACACATGGTAACAATTCAAGAATATCCTGAAATATATCAATGAATTATTTACTCGTCTTATTTTCCAATATTTTCATTAAGCGCAAAATTTTAGAGCTGACAGGATTTCTATTCTTTTATCTATTTTATATAGTAGTAATCTCTGTTTGTTTGTATTTCCGATCAAAACGCAGAAACCCCTTGAGCTAATTGTTTAAAATTTTAAATGTGGAACTCGGTAGCACCACATGAATGTTCTTAGCTTGGATTAAGCTCTTAGTCTAATGGATCTAATTAGGATTTCAGACAAAGCTGGGTTTCTGAGCTAGTAAAAATATTAAGAATAAACTTTTCCAGAATTTCTCCGAACCCGGTAAAAAAGTAAAACCTTAGGTTTTAATTCTCTTGTCTCTTTATTTTCCCGTTTCTCCTTGGATTGTTTTGCCTCTCTTGTCCCTCTGGTCTCTCTTGTATCCCGATTTAATCGAGAATTCTCATACTTCTCCTCAATAATCTGAATAAAATAATTAACTAATATCGGAACTTGTGTGTTGAGAAAATTGGGATCAAGTTTTGTTCTCCATTTTTTGCAGATATTTAGATTAATCCTATTTCTCTTAAATATCCCGTGGTGGCCAAACCCTGTTACTATAAAGTTGAGAGATCAAACATTTATCCCGTAATTAAAAAGTGTACAAATTAGATATCGAGAATACCGTTCAAAATTAACAAATGATCATACTACAGTTGACGGCATAAGTTCCGAGTTAGGAAAAGTTAATACATTCATTGTTAAAAGTGTAAGAAACATAAGAAACATTTGATTGAACCTTTGAACCTTTATTTAAGCAAACATTCTGAAGATTATTTTTCTATCTTAACAGTTTAATTTGTAATTTGTTTTCTAGAAAAGTGATCTAGGGAGTAATGCACCAGAAACAGAGAAATAAAAAACAAGGACCCAAAAGTGTTCTGATAAGGCTTAAAAGAGTACCGTTGTGAATCAGGTACGAAACTCTTTAAAATTACTTTGCTTTGGTTTTAAATTTATTTTAGGGGTAACTATAGCCCCCTCAAAATGGACAATCTCTGAGGATTTTAAAGATTGTATTTGCACTCATGCTGAACAAATATGCAGCGTAAAAACGTCTGATAGGTCTCAAATGAATCCTAAAACAATTCTCAATAATGCTTTGGGTATATTTCTAGAGAAAGATTTTTGGACCTATATGCATTTTCGAGAATTGACTTTTGAATAAAATAAATTTAAAAATGAAACGAACTACTGTTACATGCTTACCTTTAATTGTAACATCTATTTCATTAACGGACGGATCTTCCATTATAAAATAGAAAAAAAAGTTTTTCTAAAATTGTTTGTTTGGGTTTTAATTTGAGACACTTATAACATGCCGCGGCAAAGCCGCACTAAATAACTTCAACAAAGACGACTTTTTGGTTAGGACTATTTTCTCCTTACAAGTACAGGGTGTCCCACTAAACATGACATTTAATAAACAGTTATTTTTAGTTAAACAAATCTTTTGCTTGATTATATTTTACTTTGAAATCAATTTTAATATAACATGACTCTTAAAAAACTAAATATCTGCAACATTCCATTATCAGAAAGTGAAGAATACGACATTTGATAAATTCTTTCGATGTATTCCTTATTAAGGGTTTCACTGTATAAAAATATAAATCAAAGGAAAAGGAAAAGAAAGGACAAGCTGAAAGTTACATTATATTTAATATAAACTGGTGGATGATTGTTAGTATTTTTCGACGATGAACTAACTTAACTTTTAGACCTACAGCAACATTGGAACTTCGACAGCTGTAGGTCGGATGTACATATTCTAATATTAATAGTCCTAAAATAGCCCTAGCCTTGGCATTTCCAAAATGTGGCCGGCCTTTTTTGTTCTCTTAATATTAGTGCATTTATAATTAATTTTGTTCAGAATTCGACAATTTTGGTTTTATCTAATAAAATTGAAATCTGAACGAAATTTTCAATATCTCCAGTAACATTTACAGCACAAAATAGGCAGACCACATTTTGAAAATCCCAGAACTAAAAGAATGGTGGATATTGTTGCAAGATTACATGTGAAAGGGGGTTGACGACTGAATGTCTCAAATCAATTCTAAGATCAAAGACGATTTTTAAATTGTCTTGCTACTGCCATGTTTCGTGTGACACCGTATTTGACGCGGTTCAAATTCTTAGAATTCGGCCTCAGGCCGAAAGCTATTAAATCCGAAAAGTTTATATTTTGATTTTTAATGATATATAAAGAAATTTGTTGCTATATAAGAATTATATTTCAAGGGAAAAGAGGCGTACGAGGGCAGGGGGGGCTATTAAGCAGTTTAATTAATATAGTATCAATTGAGAGGTTTAAAAGTGACTGCAGACATCATTTTAATTCTGATTTACAACAATACCCTTCAAAGCTTTGTCTGATCAAGTATTGCATTAAATATCCATGTTTCACATTTTGAAAACTGAATATTTTTATTTGTGTTTTCTCTACAAAAGTGACTCATGCATTTCTTGCTCCAGAAACTATGGTGAAATGAAGGTTTCAAATGTACATCGGACATGCCACTCTATAATTGGAGCGTCACTTGAAATTACGCATGTATTTCATTTAAGTTTAAGTACATTGTATAAAAAATACTTTAAAATCTCACTTTTGCCTGAACTAAAAAAGTTTCATTAAAAAAGCTGTAATCAATACTGCCTGTAATGGAAATATGTATTTATTATCATTATTTATAATATATAATATGTATCGATCTTATAAAAATATAGTTTTTTTTAAAAAAAAGGTTTCCATCTCTATCTTTCACCCCTTGAAGCTCCACTTAAGAAAATGACATAAATATACGGAAAACCTACTATTTAAAAAGTATTTGTCAAGCTTGACAACATTATTTTACTTTGCTAAAAAACTAAAGCCCCACCATATCCTCACTCATCATGTCTCTAAGTTCAATTTCCATTCCACATTTATTATTTATTTTTCTTTTAATTATGGGAACTCTGTGAACAGCATAAAAATTGAGTGCATAATTTTGAACAATTATTTGCACGCGTACCTCTGTAAAGAAAAAATGATATATATATATGTTTTCAAATAGTGCAAATGTGAAATTACTTTAATTTGAAGTGAATGCTGCGATTAGGATTTTCAAAAATCTTTTAAAACTTGTTTTTAACTAAACCTCTCTAGTCTCTAGTCCAGACCAGAGAAGAGAAGAGAAGATAAGGTTTTTAACTAAACCTCTCTCTAGTCTCTAGTCCAGACCAGAGAAGAGAAAAGAGAAGATAAGGTTTTTAACTAAACCTCTCTCTAGTCTCTAGTCCAGACCAGAGAAGAGAAAAGAGAAGATAAGGTTTTTAATGCGTTTTGAAATTAAAAAATAAAGTTTATTATTTTCTCTTCTACGCATTTACTTTGTCATTAATTAAACCAAAAAATTTCTTTTGTAAAAAACGTTCCGATGTATTTAATTAAGTCCTTTATATATTATAAAAGAAGACCAATTTATTGTTTCTTAAAAGAAAATGAACTATCCTTTTAACTATCCTATTAACCTTTAAAAAGGTTGGTATGGGGGGGGCCTTTTTGGCGTCCTTTCTTCATAACAATTATTCTTAAAGATTTAAAAATAGCTGGACTTTTAAAGTTCGGCTAGGAACAAAAACATACACAGACATATTTTACCCCTCGTAAAATTGTTTGAAAAAAAAATAACTTTGTTGATTTAGTCTAATTTATATCCCTTATAAAGTGTTAATATTAACAAACACTTTTATATTTACCCTTTTTCATATTGACATAGATCCAGACTGCTAACAAAGTTATCTGTATCAATTTTTAAGACTGTCTCATCAATGTCTTGACCTTTGGTTTTACCTCTCTAACTCGCTTATATTTTTTTTCTATCCCGAGACATTTTTTAGCTTAAATTTGCCTTTTACTTTAGCTTTAGTTGTTAAGAAGTAATTGGCAAAATCTCATCGATTTCGCTTGAGAGCTTACAATCTGGATTTGGATGACTGTTATATTAGCACAACACAATGTGTGGTGTAACGGCAATATCTTCAACATTTAAAGATTATGAAAGTGAGGTATTTATGTTTGTTTTCTTCTTATTACTTAAACATTTAGAATTATAAAACATCAATTAATTAAAAATATTTTTTCTAAATTTTTCTCTCAACTCAACTTAATTAACAAGTAACAAGAATTGTAGTAACCCCAGATAATTTTTTTAATTAACATCAAATCATAAAACTTTTAAAAACTTTAGCAAACTTTTCTCAGCTGAAACAACTTGATTAAAGGACTGTTCCTTTAACACCATACTATTAAAAACGGCCATTACCGCCATATTATAATTTTATGAAATACATACATAAAAATTTGTGAACATTTGAATATTTATTTTCATTTTTGGTAATTTTATATTGTTTTTTTGTTCTTTAAGTTTTTCCTTGGAAACTCTAGGATGGCCATTCCAGGTAAAAATGTCAGATCAGGTTTTTAAACAATCCCCTGATAGTTAAAATCCTGGAAACAAAATAAGTTATAATGTGATGTTGTAGACCATAAATCTATCTTAAACCCTTTCTCAACTAGATCAACTAGATCAAATAGATCAACTAGATCAACTAGATCAACTATCGACCCTTTACTGGGATTATCAACCTGAGCCCAACCTCGAGGCCCTGTTGAACTCAACAGATGTGCTGAGGTTATTGTCACTGACTCTGAATGTGCAGATCTGTAGTAAATCATCGATCATCGACATAATGTCTTAGGACCTAGGTTGATAGACTTAAGCTCAAAATCCCTCAGAAGAAATTCTATATTTGAAATAAAAGTTTTCTATGAAATTTTTAAATATGAAAAAAATCTATTCATTTTTCATTTTGCTGTCAAGTGGGAGGACAAATTTTGTCTCTTGTTTTCGTGACCATAAAATAAGACAAATAAATTATTGATATTTGACTTTACAGAACACAAGGAATTGGATTTTATAAATAATTTTGTTTACAGGGTCAGCTCGGAATCTTTCATCTTTATATACATGTATACATATAAAGCTCATACATATCAAATGGTATTGAAGTCTATACCCCAACCAAAGTTTTTTTTATTTCTGAACGTATCTAAACTTTACTTTGTCTATACATCATGCTTGTCTGTTTGTTTGTTGATTTGTCTGTCTGTTTGTTTGTTTGTCTGTCTGTTTGTACCCAATAAACGTCAAAACGGCTGGACCGATCGGGCCCATGATCCCAGGGAATGTTTATGGAACATCAAAATTGAAGAAGAAAAAATGGATTTTATTTTGAAAATGCGCCTAGTATATGTTTTTATTTGATCTCTGTATTGATCATGTATAATCATCCATTTTACATAGAATCAAACATACATTGCCACCTTCTGCAAAGCGGCAATGTATGTTTGATTCTATTTAAAATGGACGATTATGCATGATCAATCCAGAGATCAAATATATAAATACATTGCTGCCCCATCTGTTCAAATCTTGCATTGTTTTGTTTGAAGTTGAACAAATATTTTATATATTGTTAGAATATTTGCATTAAGTAGTCTTCATATTTGGCTAGTCTGGTACCATAGGCGTCTGTTTAGGGGACAGGGAGGAAGGCTGCAGCCACAACAATTTGTCTTCCAAGCCACATTCTTCTCATATTCTCGTTCGATAATCAACATATCTTTAAAACTCATTGTGGTAGCCTTTCGATATTTCAAGCTATGAGTCAAATAAGGTAAGTTTTCAATATCAATGGTTTACGCCATCAGGTTGCAAAGATGTAGAAAAGAGAAAATTTGAAATTTTGAAAACCCTTAGTTCCTATAGCTTTACGGTTGTATAGGAGGAAAAAAAGAATACGGTGTAAATTCTGTGCGGTCGTCTCTGTAGTCCCATTCTTTGTGGGTATCCATGTATTCAAGAAATTGCTCGAAGCTTCCTAAATTTATCTATAAAAAGTAAAACATGTTAGGTTACAGGTAAAGTTTTATTTCTCTTGAAGATTATAAACTTTTAAAAATACGTTAAGGTACATCATAGTTAAATCTTTTACATTAATTACTCAATTTACATAACAATTATGTATAAAAAAGGAAACTGCTTGACTTTTAAAAATGTATTACAATTTTTATGTATAGATGGTATGTATGGTATTGAAAAGGTTGTGGTTAATTAAAAAAATCTAAGATAGCTCATGAACTTTTTTTTAATAATTGTGCCTTTGTCCCTCAGGCCGCAATACGTTACTTTACATTTTCAGTCTAATTAAAGAGGTAAAAATGTTTATGGATGGAGAATGTTTTCGGAACGTTCCTTAAAATATCCAAAATATTCAGATTATTATTGTTATTATTATTATCATTTTTTTTATTTACTTGCTTTACAGGAGTTTTCATTCTGTATTCACTGTAAGCTCTTCTTCTTGGAGAATATTTCTCTTGTTTTGGTTCTTCACTTCTAAAATATAATATCTTTTATTCCATTTTGAGAGAATTAATATCACGCCTATTTGCCTGTAATTTGAAAATCTTCTGAGATATTATTTCTCATAATGTCCCAGAAGATTTTCAAATTACATGTTTAAGATTTTCACTGAAGAAAAGCATTTTATAGTTTATTTCTAAATACATACATAATATCAATTTTTAAAGTCTAACAGGTGAAGTTTCAATAGAAAAGTTTTATAGATAAAACACCTCTCATCTAGACTCAATCTTAATGGGATTTATCTCTCTGATGTTCCTGGTGCTGGAGGATCTAGATTGTTGGTTTGTGACAACCTCAATCTGGTTCACCACCACATCACCAGGCCACTCATCCCAGAGGTCCTCACTCTCCCCCCGTTCAACTATACAGTTGTTATCTCCTTCTCCCTATCCACAACAGAAACCTCTTTAACAGAAACTGTGGAGGTAGCTATGGTCTTTTCAGATACAGCATGCTTGTAGGCAACATTGATAACAGCTGCCTTAGAAGTTGAAATGTACTCAGCTGTAATCTCTCATCTGTTCTGAGGTGGCACCTGCATCAGCTGCTGCAGTTGCTGGCTGACCGCCTGTAAGAATGAAAGGTATATCCACCTGGGGTGTCCAGCTGTAGTCTCTCCGCAATATCAGAAGGAACATTAGAAACCATATTGCGACCCATTGGTTGGTTTAGGAAAGATTGTGCATTTCCGGTCCAAAGAAGACGACCAGTAAATTTTACGAGCTTCACTTTAATGGTTCCAATGTATTGGTCAACAATATCAGCACTATGACTATCGTCCGTCCTAGGGACCAGAAACCTACTACCTACTACTGGATCAATTGTCGCTTCTTTGCTTGACCCTTGAATGTGTCACATAGATTCCCTGAGATGTGTTCTCACACAATTCTATATAAATATTCATCATTTCTGTATGCCTTAGTCCACCATAATAAGCCAAACAAACAGTTGTCTTTCTAACAATCCAATAAGGAGTAGAAGAATCAGCATCCAAAAGAACCTGGTGGATGTTACTGGTGCTGAACACATTAGCCTTTTGTTTGATATCAACATCAAAGCTTTTCAGCATAAATGTACTGTTTAAGATTAAATGAATATTTTTCCTTTGAAACAGAACTGATCATAAGCTGTAGTCATAGAGAATAGAATATATAGAGAGGAATTTACTAGAAAAAAGTGTAAAACGGCCATTTTGTTGTACTGTTTCCATACTGCAGGTGTACTTCACATATTTGTGCTATATAACGTTTTGGGCCCTGGAACATCATTTTATACAAAAATTTTCTTGAAAATTATTTGAAAGCCAATATTTTAGAAATATTCAAGATATCAACATATGGTTCAACTTTTTTTCCACTAAAATTGAGGATGGAGAAAAACTTAATATTTTAAATTCATTTTACAAATTTTCAAATGCATGGAAAATTATTTTGGAATCAGAATCTTCAATTAAAAAATTTTCTTTAACTACATGTTTTGAAAATAAAATCTAAAATTAATATTAAAAAAAAACAAATTATGAAATAGGCTGATTTCATAATTGAGTAATTGACCAATGATCATTTCACATAGACTTTCACTTTACTAACGATGATTTTCCGTTATAACTATAAATCAAATGATGTTTTTTATTCACCTAATTCAAATTATTAAGTTTATTTAACAGTTTAAAAATTTCGAAATTGAAATGGATAGTCTAGGGAACATACTGTATTAATGTACTCTACTGCGTATAATTTGTGAACATTTACATGATTTGTACACTTTGAACTCCCTTTCAGACTAAAAGGGACTGAAAAAATTCATACCGAGAGATTCTTTTAATTCCTCTCTATATATTCTATTCTCTATGGCTGTAGTTGTCCAAAGACTGGATGAAGCCATTCCTCTCTAAGTTGATTAAAGGCCCTGAGATAGTTATTCCGGCCGCCTTCCTTGATCTGTATCAACGCCATAGAATCCGGGAAGATAATTGATGAATCAAACATCTTCCTTCCTTGCCAGTTCAACTAACACTGACAAATTCTGGATTTTTTACTAAATTTTGCGGATTTTAGAGTTTTTTTTCGGTTTAAATTAATAAAATTATATAAGCAACTGCACATGTGTAAAATTTATTAATATATTCATCTCAAAACAACCAAAAATCTGTTTGGCCCATGACAAAAAATATATTTTACTGCAAATTAGAAATTCAAAACTCTTCCTCATGCAAGAGCTTTTCAGAGAGAGGAGTTATGATGGAAAACTAATTTTTTATCTGAGACGAAAATGTCCTTTAGTTATAGTCGTGTGTGGCCGTGGGACATGGTTGTGTATTATGGGCACAGAGAGCAGTTAATATAAAAGGGAGTTGTTATTATTGTGCTTATGAGCAATATTAAATGCTGTACAATTCTAAATATTTTATCAAAAATGTTTGTAAAATAAGGTTAAACCCCATTTTTGAGAAAAAATACGATTTTGAACAAAAAAACAACTTCTCACAAATTTCGCGAGAAGTTGTGACGAAAATTTTCGTGAAAATGAACGAAATTTGTACGTTTTCGTTCACTTTTCGTTGCCTGAACGAAATTTTCGCGACATAGATTGAACGAAAATTTGGAAACCCAAAGCTTGAGTCAGCTCATTCACCGGACCAACTTTTAAACATCTAGAACAATCTGTACACTGTACGGTATACACCCAGACTATATAAGGCAAACCGGGACAGTACACTAAACATCTAGAAAAATCTGTACACTGTACGGTACACACCCAGACTATATAAGGCAAACCGGGATAGTACACTAAACATCTAGAACAATCTGTACACTGTACGGTATACACCCAGACTATATAAACCGGGACAGTACACTAAACATCTAGAACAATCTGTTCACTGTACGGTACACACCCAGACTATATAAGGCAAACCGGGACAGTACACTAAACATCTAGAACAATCTGTACACTGTACGGTACACACCCAGACTATATAAGGCAAACCGGGACAGTACACTAAATGAATCAGGGAGATCTTGTGAGACCCATGTATACAGTGGCCGAATTCAAAGAATTTGAGCCGGGGCTTAAATTTCAGACGCGGCTTAAATTTGAGACGCAGCTCAAATATGGTTGGTTTCACTTAAAATTGTAGTCAATGTTTCAAGATTAAAGCCGGCGCTCTATTGAAACCGGTTTTTGGCGTATTTGAGAAACGGCTTAAATTCATTAAATTCGGACTTAGTATATTTTCAGCTGTTATAATTCGAGAACCATTTTTTTTTAACTGTTAAACGCTTTTGTTAAAAATGGACCCTATTCTTAAATTTTCAAAGATGAGATATACGATCATTGGCTTTAATTTTGTCAATCACTAAAGAATTATATGAGCCTTTGTTATTTAAAGAATATGTTGCCTCCATAACCCCCCCCCACAAAGTTTTTTTTTAAACTTGGGAACCCAGCGCTGCCACGGGTACTATAGTCCGCCATCTACCCGCACTTGATCGATTTTACCGGGAAACTAAATTTTCGCTATTTAAGTCGAACTTAGTATCTCAAAACCAAGCTAACAACATTCTCGTGGGTCTCCCGAGTTCAACAATTAAATTTTAGGCAATCGGTCCAGGGAATCCTGAGTTATGTTTGGACAGACAAACAGACAGACAGAGATAACAACTTTATATATAGATACTTTCTTTTTAATTGATTTCAAAAGTCAATGAAAACCCTAAAAATCTTTAAATATTTGTTTTTCAAACTTTTTGTTGAACGGAATCTGAATAATGTAATGCAGTTAAATAGTCTGATATGGGGGGAAAGTATTTTTAGGCGAGTTAAGCAGTGTAAACTAGCTATGGGGGATTATTTTAAATTGTTATAAAGACTACATTGTGTCATGAAGTCTGTTATAAAGGCTACAGGGTGTCATGAAGTCTGTTATAAAGGCTACAGGGTGCCATGAAGTCTGTTATAAAGGCTACAGGGTGTCATGAAGTCTTTTATAAAGGCTACGGGGTGCCATGCAGCCTGTTATAAAGACTACGTGGTGCCATGAAGCCTGTTATAAAGGCTACAGTGTGCCATGAAGCCTGTTATAAAGGCTACAGGGTGTCATGAAGTCTGTTATAAAGGCTACAGGGTGTCATGAAATCTATCTGTTATAAAGGCTACAGGGTGCCATGAAGCCTGTTATAAAGGATACTGGCGGCCTCAGAGCCTGTTATAGATGCTACATGGTGGGTGCCTTGAAGCAGCTATTATAGAGACCAAATGAGTGCCTGGAAGCCTGTTATAAAGAATACAGGCTTAGATCTTGAAACATTAACTACAATTTTAAGTAAAACCAAACATATGTGAGTCACGGCTTAAATTCAAGCAGCAGTTCAAATTATTAAAATTCGGCCTCTGGTCTAGAAAATGTAAGGATAACTTTTTATATTTGTCTGGATCTCTGTGTAACATTTAGCCACGATACACAAAGTGTGCTCCTAAAAGGGACAGACCGGCTATGTAAGGTAGTTGAACTGAGTATACAGTGTTGTGGGAAGCTTCTTTCGGATTCATTTTAGACATATTAAACTTTTTAAAGATCTGTAAATCCTGAGTTTGAGCGCAAATTTGATGTTCAAAACTCCTACTTTGGTTTTGAACGTCGAATTTGCGCTCAAACTCAGGATTTACAGATCTTTAAAAAGTGTCATATATCTCAAATGAATCCAAAAGAAGTTTTCCACAACACTGCATACTCAGTTTAACTACCTTACATAGCCGGTCACTCTCTTTAAAGATCTGTAAATGCTGAGTTTGAGCGCAAATTCGACGTTCAAAACCCCTACATTGGGGGTGGATACGTTTTCAGAATCGTTTTTTTTAATTACTAAATAACGACGACGAAAAATAAAGTAAAAATTATACAGTAATCTAATTAAATGGTTGGGAACATATTTCTACAAGGAAATTTGTCAATAAATCAATGCTAAAATCGATTATTTCGTTTTCATTATTATATTGAATTTCTAATTTTCTTTGAATTTATTTGCAGATTTCTTCAAATTCTTCAAATGTCGTCTTTTCAATAATAATTCCAGAAAATCTGCAGAAAATCTTTGTGAATAATGAGCAACTAGAAAAGTGAGAAAATAGAAACTAATAATTGAACAAGACTTATTTTCGATGATAAGATTAATTTTTATTTTCTCAACCGGTTCCTAAACAACTAATTAGTTTACTGTAAAGTTTTGTTTACATTTCTTGTCGTCTTTATTAAATAATTAATAAAAAAACCGATTCTGAAAACGTATCCACCCCCAAAGTAGAAGTTTGCATACTCAGTTTAACTACCTTACATAGCCGGTCTGTCCCTTTAAAGATAATTTTTTAGCCACAGTTTTCCTTCGTCTATAAACTAGTGTGTTTCTCTAAACATGTTAGTTACAGATGAAAGATTTGCACTGAAGTGTATCCATTCAGAAATATCCTGCTCAAAATTAACTTCAAGGGGGGGGGGCGGGGGGTTAAGTCTCATGCATAATAATAATAAGAAAACCAAAGGATCAATTTGTGATAGAAAAAAAGAGAGGAGAAAAAAATGATTACATTTACAGTACAGTATTTCGAAATTAAGATATTTAAAAATAGTATAATTAAGAATAAGCACTAAGGACAAAATTATAATTTTTTTCCATTAAACGGTTTAAAGATATAATTCTATTACGTTGACATTCTTATAATATATATGCTTAAATAGATCTCAGAGAACAATTACGTTCTTTTACATGATTTTTGGTGTTTTCTAGAATATACCTGGCTTTAAAGATTGATTGATAGATTACTGCAGCTAGAAATCCGCCAGTCATAGGTCCAACCCAGTATATCCATAGATCAACTATATATAGTTTATGTATACCCATAGATCAACTATATAAAGTTTATGTATACCCATAGATCAACTATATATAGTTTATATATAACCATAGATCAACTATATATAGTTTATATATAACCATAGATCAACTATATATAGTTTATATATAACCATAGATCAACTATATATAGTTTATGTATACCCATAGATCAACTATATATAGTTAGTTTATAAATAACCATAGATCAACTATATATAGTTTATGTATACCCATAGATCAACTATATATAGTTTATATATACCCATAGATCAATTATATATAGTTTACGTATACCCATAGGTCAACTATGTATAGTTTATGTATACCCATAGATCAACTAAATATGGTTTATGTATACCCATAGATCAACTATATATAGTTTATGTATAGCCATAGATCAACTATGTATAGTTTATGTATACCCATAGATCAACTATATATAGTTTATATATACCCATAGATCAACTAAACATAGTTTATGTATGCTAGTAGCTGGTATAAATCATTGATAAAATCTATACATGCAAAATAAATATATTAAGTGGATAAATGAAGAATAAAAAAATATATTATTTAAACTATTAACGACAAAATTAAACCTGTGTTATGCATAACAACTGCAGGTCCTAATGATCTTGCCGGATTCATGCTTGAACCTAAACAATAATTAAATAATATATGGTTTACTTGGCTTCCAGGGCTCTTCGCGTCCATTTTCTATTTCTAGTTGAAATTTTTTTTGAAAATACACCAATTTTGAAAGAAAAAACCCGCCCAAATTTAAAAATAGGGGTCTATGTTAAAATTGTCCAACCTTGCTCTTGTTTAAAGAGTAAAATTGTAAAGGAGATAATTGGAAAATAGAAATAAACAATTATTCACTAATTTTAGGAGAGTTGAAGACACTCCCTGTTGAGCTATAAAGGGCCTATATGCAGGTGGAATCTTTTGATGGAAAAAAATGTTAAACTTAAATTATAATTTTATTATTATTACAAAACTTAATAATTTAATTTTTTATCGTTTTGTTAGCTATGGCTTGTCAAACGACTTGACCGAATTGGCTGAATTTTTTGAGGGGGGTGAACATCGGGCTATGAAAAATAGATTCGAAATATATTTTTATTTCCAAGGACAACGCAGGGTGCTTCTGCTAGTATGTACAATTCTCATTTTCTGTTAAATGCAAACGCTCCCTTAACTCGATTAGAAAAATGTAATTATTTGTCTGGACGCTGGTGAATTTTTTTCTTTTTTTTCTATCATCGTAAAAGTGATTACTATTTTATAGATAAACCATAAAAAATCTTTACTTATTAAAGATCAAGAATTATAACAAATAAAAGTAAAAAGGTCTTTAAGTTCTTCAAAAGTATTGTTAAAAAAGATTTATAATTTGCAACAGTTAAATATAGCTGTATCTTTTGAAAATGTATTTCTACCAAACCTCCTCATTAGTATATTTCTTATTTAACAAGACAGTTTTTTTACTTAAAAGACTCAAAAAGGGTCAAAATTAATGACTAAAGACTAAAGAACTAGATTTTTACTTTTCACACTTTATTGTTTATTAAGACAGATATTTTTCCTGTTTTGCACTAGGGTTTTTTTCCCTTAAGCATGCTATTCCGGGGGGGGGGCGAATGTCCCCAGCCCCCCTGTATCCGCCCCTGGTTTTAGTGCAAGGAAAGTTATTTCAGAGGTGTGCGAATCTCTTGTACTGCAGTGTACGTCTCTGGGCAGTAATGTAAACACAAGACGGATGTCTAAGCCTGACATGGGATACATCTTTCACATAAAAAATGAATGAAGTATTTTGGCAAAGAGAATAGAATATATTTTAGAGTGGAATTTAAACAATCTCTCGGTATGAATTTTTTCAGTCCCTTTCAGCCTGAAAGGGAGTTCAAAGTGTACAAATCATGTAAATGTTCACAAATTATATGCAGTAGAGTACATTAATACAGTATGTTCCATAGACTATCAATTTCAATTTCGAATTTTTTAAAGCTGTTAAATAAACCTTATAATGAATTAGGTGAATAAAAACCATCATTTGATTTATAGTTATAACGGAAAATCATCGTTTGCAAAGTGAAAAGCATAGAGTCTATGTGAAATGATCATTGGTGAATTATGAAACGCCTATTTCATAATTTGGTTTTCTTATAACAATAATTTTAGATTTTCTATAAAGTGATATTCCAGGGCCCAACAGGTTATATAGCATAAATATGTGAAGTACACCTGCAGTTTTGAAACAGTACAACAAAATGGTCGTTTTACACTTTTTTCTAGTAAATTCCCCTCTAATATATATTCTATTCTCTATGTATTTTGGTCATAGGAAACTATTATGTGAATTATCAAAATTTAATGCCAAACGAACACTGATGCATCTATTCTTGTCTACCAAATTCCGCCCAGAGAGAACTGGTTTCAATATTTACGCAGAGTATACGCAACTGCAATTAACTTTTCTTTGTATCATAACCTTGGTTTTGCGTATATGTTTATATATGCAGTACACGATATATATACTACATAAGGGTTACAGTGGTCAACATTCTTATAAAGGGAGGAAAAATTCCGTTCTAAGGTAGCAGGGTCATTTGACGTTCATGAAACGCTGTCAAATGACACTATAACTACCTTAGAAGTTAACATTTCCTTCTTGTAAAGGAAAGTCAGGCCCAGAGCCTAAAACTTAAGAAACCCAGTATTGGACTCGGGTGTCACGAATGGGGTTAGCCAATTTTGTAGATATAAAAAAATGGAAAGAAATTATTGTCATGGTTGCTTTATATTCTCTTTAAATTTTTTATTTCTTTATGTAAATCTACACAAATGTATATACCCCAAAAAGTGCACTCGGGAGTTTCGTTCAACAATACTTAAATTTTGAGATCTGCACTTCATGCACTATATTGTATGTACTATGTAAACATGGGAGAAATAAATCATGAACCATGGAAGTTAAACTACCTTTTTAAATCGGAAATACTTACGAGGAGGTTTTATTTTGACGGGTGGAAATACAGTGTGCATGTTTATAAGTATTAGTTTCAAATTACGAAATCCTTTGCGCATTTTACGAATAAAAGAAAGAAAAAAAAAACAATAAACATTCCATTATTTTCTAGTTATCTCTGTACCTGTCAGGGGAATTGCCCATAAGTGGCAGGCAGTGATGCTTAAACCTGAAAATATATTTTATGAAACTATTGTGTACTTTATCATTCATACTCACTTCATAGTGAATTTTACTATTGACATAATTAGCTGTATAATCTTGCTATAAAGTTTCCGGATTTTCTTCAAAAAAATTAGAACATTTAAAAAAATTCAATTGAAATGAAAATATAATTTAAAACTAATCATTCATATGTTACAAGTTATAAAAGTCAAATTTATTTTATACCTTTATACATTTCATAATTATTTTTTTAAAAGGATTAAGAAGCCTTTATATCGAAGGAAATAAACCAATCTCTGTAGTTGACACTTCTACCAACTATTTGGAGTGCATGAAAGAGGTAAATAAACAGCGTAATAAATAAAATATTTATATAAGCGAAAGAAGCGGGCAGACGACGCAGGATTTAAGAAAGGGGAGGAAGAATAGTCCAGGGTGCCCTGCTATTTAGCTTGAGTGTAATGGTTGTAAGGAGATCATGGCCTAATCATACAGTACAAACATCAGATATCACTCTTTATATTATAACCTCGTTGGGACAGTCACATCATATTTGCATGGCAAGTCACATCATTCTCTCATACAAGCCATAACCGAAGAATCATCCAATTCCAATATTCTTCGACTAAAGTTCAACATTTTTCATATTTAAACTTTATTAAAAGATCTTTCCACATTCAGCATAAAATACGTTTGAAACTATAAATTGTAATATGAGTTGTTTTTATTTATGTTTTCATCTCAAAATATTAAACGAAACAAATATTTAAATCTTAACTTAAGATATGCAGCACGTCTATTTTTGTTAGGTTAAACCTTAATCTCTTCTTATATAGTGGTGAATAATGAACAAAAAGATTTTTCTTAAATAATGAAAGACAAGTTCATTCCATAATCTTTCTATGGAAAATTCGATGGTTTTAAATTCTAAGTACAAAAAAGATTATTCCTATTCTTTGATAATTCCGTACGATTATCTAAAATTTTTTAATCCCTATATCTTTGCAACCCGATGTGATTGACCTTTAAAATTTCAAACCATGAATTATGTTGGATTAAATAGCCAAACTTTAAAATATCAAAGATTTAAAGGGAGTGTTCGCGAAAAATGAAAGGGGGTATAGGCTTAATGCGATAAAAAAGCGCTTTTGATCGCTACTAATCTACTTCTATCTGTTGCGTCTATAAGGAGAAAATTGTTAAAAACAACTAATACCGAAGAACGTAGCGACCATACAAATTGAGAAAATTGCAACATACGACTTAGACCGTAAAAAAATCAATTTAATTTCAAACAAATCCTTCAGATATTACAACCTATAGTCATCGATTATCTTTCGCCACATTTATAAATAGTTGATTTTTCATAATATGTTTTAATTGTTATGATCTGAGAGTTACTTATAAAAACGTTTATTCCTGTTTCGAGGATTTTTGGTAATGAAGACGACATTTTCATATTTTCCAGGAATGTTCGAAAACAAGTTGTAAGCTAAATATTATTTTAAAAAACAAAATCAAAACTAGGATGAAATATCAAATATATACAAATGTGGCGAAAGATAATCGATGACTATAGGTTGTAATATCATGATTTGTTTGAAATTAAATTGATTTTTTTACGGTCTAAGTCGTATGTTGCAATTTTCTCAATTTTGTATGGACGCCATGTTATTCGGTATGAGACGTCTTTAACAATTTTCTCTTTATAGACGCAACAGATAGAAGTAAGATTTGTAGCGATCAAAAGCGCTTTTTTATCGCATTAAGCCTATACCCCCTTTCATTTTTGGCGAACACTCCCTTTAAACCATCAAGTTTCAAAGATGTTTCAAAGATATAGGAATAAGAAAAATTGAGTTAGTGGCAAAAGACAAGTTAATTTCATGAATATCTCACTTTTTAGATATTTAAGTACTTCACTATTTAAATAGTTTTACAATCCTTAAGATTTAAAAGTTTAAACCCCCCTTGATTACAAGGATTGAGAATTTAGAGATGGCTATAGGGAAAAAGTTTCAAAAAGCCCTTATACATATACATATAGGCGTAAGCAGAGATGTTTAGGTAAAGAAAAACTATGGATTTCCTTTTTTGGAGGGGGGGGGGGGGCAAATGAACTTTTGGTTTGATATTAACCTATAGCTAAAGGTGCAGATCCTTTTACTTGTATAGAGTTTACAGGGTCCGCTGCACTAGCAAACACAACGAGGACAAGAACCCCGGTAATCAACATTTCAACAGCCACGGCATTTCCTAAACAAGAAGATCTTTTACAAGGGATACCGGCATGGGTCATTAAAGGGCACGTCCCCAAAGTTAAAATTTTGGGTTTTTATCTTGTTTACGCCGCCCTTAGTTTTCGTAGAAAACAGTTTAAAATATGATTTCAAACATATAGCTTTGACACATAGTACATCTTGCTCTAGGTGCCTAAAAGATTTAAAATAAACGAAAGTTTGAATTCTTGTGCGTATGCTCAATATATAAAGAAGATATGCATTCTTGCCTTATATGTGAGTAAATCAAGAAAATGATCAACTCTTTATGGTAAAAATAATAACCAATACGTCTTGCAAGATATATACAGGGATATCCACAAAGGATGAGATTGTAAAGACGACCCGAAACTCTAAAATATGACGATTTAAAGCTTGATTTTTGGTTTCTGCATTCAATTCAGTATTTTTATGGTTTACTAAATAATTAATTACATAATTAATCCAGTTTTGGCCTACAATGAACCCAGAATGTAAGAAAACGGACTAAACAAATTCCGTAGAATCGTCTCTAAAGGATGAGACCATCTTTTGTGGGAAATCCTGTATTTCACAATGCTATGTATTTCCGGTATCATGCAAGTAGCTTCGAAATTCTAACAGTGCATAAATTACCTTTAGTAAGAAGCGCATTGACTCCAGTTTGTCCTAAACCAGCAGCACCCCGTAGGCCTTCAGGAGCTACACTGTAAAGAATTGCTGCGCCGGTAATACCACCAACACTCTAGACACTTTATACAGTTAGATTTTAAACCATAATTGGACTTCTTTATAGTTTTTATTCGTGTATCATCATTTTTAGAAACTCTTGAACATGTGATCATAAAGTATTTCGTTGTTTCCAAAATGTAGTCTGCCTTTTTGTTCTTTCAAATTCTTTACAGATTTCTATTTATTTGTAAAACTTCTTATCGCATAACTTTGTTCTTTTTCTAAGATACAATTTCGACCATATTTTAGAAGACATTTTCTCATGAATAAATAGCTGCCAAAGATCAAAGATGACTTCTAAATTATCTTTCATTTATTATGTACAGGGTTACCCAGAAAGAATGAGACTTTAGTGATGACTTTATGAAATTTAATTCGTATTTTATTTTTACATTAATTTCCTGTAACAGTCAACAAGCTTCTTTCTTTGCCAAATAATTAAATATGGCCATAGTTAGAGAAAAAAAACTAATTTCATCCAGCCCCAGGTCGTCTTCAAAGTTTCACCCAAAGATTGGGGTATCCCTGTATATTAGCGTGTCTAAATTGAGAACATTTAATCACAATGTTTTGGGACAAAATTTAAAACTGATACTCCACAATTCTAAACATGAAGGGGAATAAAGATGTTTTTATGTTTTTCATTTCCGAATTGACATGCATATTGCAAACCTAATGGCCGTAACAAACAAGAGTTTTAAGAAAAATCAAGAGGGCGCAAATTCTGTTTTGCCACGAAAGAAAAAAGAAATCTGCTAAGGAAAAATAATACCATCGCATGAGTTGAAATATTTCGAATATTTTTCAATTTTCTTATTGTTGAGTGTTCCTGGAAGAGAATGTATAGAATACCCTGGATTTCAGAACAAATTAGAAATGTAGAGAAATGTAAAATAAAAAAAATATTTATTATGAAAACATTTCTTTAAACTTAAAGGGACTGTTGTGGTAATTTTAATTGAATCTCCATTTATAAAGAGGGGCATGCATGCCGAGTCCATCAGTGCCTGATCCAATCAGGGTTCAGTCATGTGTTTGTTGTCTATTTGAACCAATAGAAATAGTATGGCGGTAACGAGGTTGTAATGCAAGGTAAGTTTTGTGCAACTCATGGGGTCGCTTGAACTTAAAGTCGATCTGATGCTAATATGCATTTTCTTAAATTCAGGTATTTAAAAAAAAAACTACAGTCGCCACTAGCTCATTATACGACACGGATTTGTACAGTTAATTAAAAGATATATTATTTTTTTAAATGAATATCTTCTTTCCGGTTAGTGTTAAGAATAGAATTCAGACATGGATTTATATGTATTTTTTTGAATTTTCAGTCGGAAATTGTCTTTTAACCTTTTAAATACATATAGCTTACCTTAAAATTTAGACAAAGTGCAACTTAACTAATTGCTTTCAGTTAAAAGGTTAAACTTGTAAAGTTTTTGACATTTAAATAAGTTTTCTAGCAGAGAAAACATAAACTGTCGTTTTTCTAGTTTTCAGAACAGCGTTAAAAGAAATAAAGCAAACTTTTAAAAATGTTAAATTTTCAATTTGCTCTTTTTCCTTTAATATCCCAATCTTTCTGCCAGTAATCAGCCCTAGTGTGACCGCAGGATTTATGTGACAGCCTGAACAGTCAAACTGTTTATTTTTAGTTATATTAGAATCTTCTAAATTATTTTAAACATACTTTAAAAACGATTTTATTTTTGTATTAAATTCTTATCAATCCTATTTAAAGGGACTGTAAAGGAAAAATGAAAGAGGGTATAGGATGAAACCTGAGAATCTCAGGTGTTGAACGGTACATATAAGACATCTATCTGTTGTTCAGCTGTCTCGAGAAATTGATATAAAACTATGTCAAAGTTATACCAAAACGTATATATCAGATTTTGTATAAGATTCGTAGTATTTAACAGAACATATTCAACAAATACGCAACCAATCTGAAAACTTAATATCCAACAGGAGCATGAGAATCTCAGATTTGCTCATGCTATAATTTTTTAATTGTTATTTTGTATTTTTCACAGATATAATTGATATTATTATTATGTTAGGTCCGTAAAGTCCGTATTATGTCACAAGAGCTCCCAACCAATAAGAGTGCAGTATCGTTGTCACGTGTCTACGTCTGTATCACGTGACCAATGTAACTACAAACGGTGAGAACCAAAAACACTGAAATTCTTGTCGTCTTAACTTTTTCTTTTAATTCTGGAATGTTGCTAGAAATTTGCAATTTGAGCCACTGAACTTTTTCTTCTTGTTTGCATCCAAAAAACGTAAAATCGGATTGAGTCCAAATTTTTTGTGAAAACTCATTCGGTTTATGGTTCATGGTTGGTTAAAGCACAAAAAGTCGGGTTTTAATTTTTTTAAACTATACTTTACCATAAACTTTATTATACTATAAAATATTTACTATAAACGGAAAATCTGCGAAATACGATTTATTAAGAAAAATGGTAGCTTGAAGACCACGTTGAATGAAACTAGAATTATTATGAATTAACGAAGCTAAAAGCCCAGATAATAAAAAAAGAAGACAAAAAATATAAAACATTGAATCCACAGTGTGTTAGTTCTCAGTGTACAATATTTGTAGACCTGAAACATGTCCGAAAATTTGTAGACCTGAAACATGTCCGAATATTTGTAGACCTGAAACATGTCCGAATATTTGTAGACCTGAAACATGTCCGAATATTTGTAGACCTGAAACATGTCCGAATATTTGTAGACCTGAAACATGTCCGAATATTTGTAGACCTGAAACATNAAATACAAACATATAAATACATTTTAACTATTCATAAAAGCACAAATATCAATTCTTAAAGAATCTGTTACATTCGTTTGTGAATTTTACAAAAAAGGAGTTTTAGTTTATGTAAACACCCAGCAGAGTTCCCATATACAGAAATAATTGATTCCAACCATGATCTGACATTCTTTGTTAAAAATATGCACTTTGAGGGATTCTATATCTACCCTGGGGTAACTAGGCAAAAAAGTGTTTCTAAATTTCCACGGGCAACGTCGGACAGTTCAGCTAGTATTTAATATTTTTAAACTTTCCAGGGGGGTGGCTGAAAGCCATAAAATATCAGAGTTAAATAAACACAAAACTTATCTCTTACACCTTATATGTACATCTAAATACTTTGAAAATTATAAACTAACTAGTTGAAGTGCCTGGCGTTGCCCTTGATTATATTTATAATCATAGGCATAGTTACTTTCGCCGTTTACCCGCGCTTGGTATTAAATCATGATTTTAGATGAAGTGCTCGGCCTTGATCTTGGAATGTTATAAATTTCAAAAATTTCAGCCAATTTGGTCTAGCCGTTTGGCAATAGCTATTGCTAACAAATACAGCTGTCGCCGTATATATCAATAAAATGTAGATTGATTTTTTATTTGATTGCTACCAAGCTTTAAAACAGCAGTTAAACACAAAGCAAAGAGAATCTCAGAATTCTCAATTAACAGATTCTCTTTGTTTACTTGTAAACTTGTAATTTGAAATATTCTGAGTTGAACATCAGCATCAAACCTATCTCCTCCCATACAGCTAGATTCCCATATATAAACCTGATCACTGAGTTGAACATCAGCATCAAACCTATCTCCTCCCATACAGCTACCACAACCAATCAGAACAAGAAGCAAAGTTCCGAAAAACTCCGCTAGGAGGCAGCGTATTACTTGAGTTGTGTGAACCTGAACAAGAAAATAACAAAATAAATGCAAAAAAGGTGAATGCAAACTTTAATGGTAATTGATAATGTTTCGCATTTCGTTCACTCGCGAAAAATGCGAAAATTTTTGCTTTTTCTGCATTAATTTGTTTCGCGAAATTTTCGCAAAATAAGGAACGCGAAAAAAATGCGGAAAGTTTGCGAAAAAAAACAAATGCGAAATTATTAATTGTAATATAATAAAACTTCTAACACTAGAAAGTTTTCGTTCGCTGGAATCCTTAGATGATGGACATGTTCAGTCTAAAGGGACACATGGCCAAATAATTGTAAAACCTTCAATATCAAAATTTAAAAATTTTAACAATTAAATGCTTTTTAAAATTTGCAAAATTATTTTTTATAAAGTGTGTGTAGATTTAATTTTATTATGTCCATCAAAGCATGATTCGATATTCTTCGATCTATATACTCAATTTTTAATTAAATTGTTAATTGCTCTCAATGTCACATTTGAGCTGAGCTAATTTATCTCTCTTATCCGTAGGTATGGAATAAACCCCCTGATTACCTCTCCCATCCCTAGATATGGAATAAACCCACTGATTCACCTCTCCTATTCCTATAGATATATGGAATAAACCCCCTGATTTTCCTCTCCTATTCCTATAGATATATGGAATAAACCCACTGATTCACCTCTCCTATTCCTATAGATATATGGAATAAACCCCCTGATTTACCTCTCCTATCCCTAGATATGGAATAAACCCCCTGATTTACCTCTCCTATCCCTATATATGTATGGAATAAACCCCCTGATTTACCTCTCCTATCCCTAGATATGGAATAAACCCCCTGATTTACCTCTCCTATCCCTATAGATATATGGAATAAACCCCCTGATTTACCTCTCCTATCCCTAGATATGGTATAAACCCCCTGATTTACCTCTCCTATCCCTAGATATGGAATAAACCCACTGATTTACCTCTCCTATCCCTATATATATATGGAATAAACCCCCTGATTTACCTCTCCTATTCCCATAGATATATGGAATAAACCCCCTGATTTACCTCTCCTATTCCTATAGATATATGGAATGATCCCCCTGATTTAACTCTCCTATCCCTAGATATGGAATAAACTCCCTGATTTACCTCTCCTATCCCTAGGTATGGAATAAACCCCCTGATTTACCTCTCTTATCCTTAGATATGTAAGAAACCCCCTGATTTACCTCTCCTATTCCTATAGATATATAGAATAGTCCCCCTGATTTACCTCTCCTATCCCTAGATATGGAAGAAACCCCCTGATTTACCTCTCCTATCCCAAGATATGGAAGAAACCCTCTATTCTCCTTCTCCTTCTCGTCAGGGTCTCTAGGAAAATATTAATATTTTTATTTATCTGTTTAAAGGGACTGTCGATGCATTTTTAAGTAAACCTATAGTCTAAGTTACAGGAGTTACAGACCCAATTCTCTCTGAACCTTTCTCTGAGTTATATTAAGGAAGATTTTGTCTTAATTTTAACATGAAGAGAGATACATTCTGCAAATTATCTTTCTTTTCTCACTTTGGAACATCCCAAAAAGAAATGTGTTCTCCATCAATACAAAAAAGTTATATTTTCATAAGTTTTCTGAAGAAAAAGGTTTAAAGGTTACCGTTATGAATAGAGCATCATTGTTTTGACGTTACGTTGACATTTATGGTGAAGAATAGTAGAATTACTAATATGAAGATTTTCGATCCCCCGCATCCAATCCTTTTCTTACTTTCGTAATAAAAAAGAACATTTCAGTTTTCAAATTTAAATATAAATTTTGAGTCTCATCTAAACTAAGGTTTCCATTTTTCCAGGATCAATTCCTAAAGCTGTTTTTCATAAGGAATTAATCCGAAAATTAAACTTTATTCAGCATGTTTCTTCTAGCTCTGTGTAGTATCTGGGAGATTTATGCTTAAAGGGATTGTAAACGTAATTTTAAGTGACCCTCCATACAAATTTTAGCCATGTCCGATTTACAACGGCACCCTTGATACTTTAATCTGATAAACGGTGTTAAATATAACGTCGCTTTTCATTAAAAAGTGTTTATTTCTTTGAATTTCTCCATTGTTTCTTGCAAGATAGAAACGTGCAAGTCACTTTTGCAGAGAAACCATAAAGCGAAATAAACAATTTAAATAAAGAAAAACATGGATATCTAATTCTTGCTTGATCAGACAAAGCTTTTAAAGGAACCGTGTTAATTCGGACAATGCTATCACTTCAAATTACGCTTACAGTCCCTTTAGTTCGGTAAAAATAGGTTCTGCTTTAATTTCCGAAAACTTTTAAGGGTTTATTATTTTTAACATCTTCAGGAAAAGTTCCGTATGAGGCCTTTACGGAACCAAATTGATAGGAAAAATTGAAAAGCCTAATTTAAACTGATGAAAAGCTAAAAAAAAGTTTCAATTCAAAAACAACTTTTTCAGCTATTTTTCTTTAAAACTATTTATAATGCAAGTCTATACATTTCCTTTATCAAGCTTTATTTTCTACAAAAGTAATACAGTTCAAATGTAATATTGTACGATAAATCTTGGTTAACACAAATTTGGAACAAAAACGGGGTAATCAAAAAAAAACAATAATATTTAGATTAATTTTTTCAAACTTAAAATAAGTTTTTAAAAGATCAAATTAATCAATTTGCTGCATTGCACATTGTCTCATGCATGCAGGTCTTACATTTCAGAAATAATCTATGAGAGGGTATTTAATTGGTATTTAAGTTTGCAAGTTTACTGAAAACTCCTGTTTGGTTGATTTAGGGGGCATGACAAATCCACTTTAAGGTTTTAGAATTCTAAAAGGGGAAATGTAAATTCTTGGAAAGACGTTACCCCTTAGCCCCCCCCCCTTTGTATATGTTGATAAATCCTGGTTTTACCTCAAATGGACCCGGACAGAGAGGCAGCCACTATCCGTCTCATATTCATAATCTCCCATATTTTATATTTTCAAATCTTAAGAAACAAAGATTAAAAGTTGAAAGGGACTTTAGACTAATTTTCAAGTGACCCTCCATGTGAAGATGCCCAAGTCACAACGGTACCTCAATCTGATTAATAATGTGGAGGATATTTTCGTTTTTCTAGGTTTTAAAAGTGCTAAGTTCTTATACTTTTTATATGTTTCACTGTAACAGTAAAAATGCGCAAATCACTTTAAAGATAAAAAAAATTTCAACATTATAAACATTGATATCTAAATACAAAGATTTTATGAATCGGGTATTATCATCTTTGCATCGAAATTACGCTTACAGTCCCTTTAATTCATAATTCGCTATATTGTAAACAATGAAACATACACATGAATTGAACTGGCAGATGCTTTATTTCTTCGTTTTTCATTCTTCTATGGTTCGGGTTTTTTGGACGAGTCAAGTTCGGGAGTCAGGATTGGTAAAAGGAACTGTCAACTGAATTTAGAGCAACCCTTTTATAAATAAAAATGACAACATGACATGCCAGTTTTAAAATCTTTTGTCTGCATGTAGTTATGAAAAAGATGTTTTTCTAATTTAAAAAGAAAAATTTGTTAATTTCTTCTTTACTGCTGCACTTTCATACATAATTGATAAAATTGAAAAAGCACAATTAAAAATGAAGAATATTGAAAAAAGCACAATTAAAAATGACGAATATTCAAAAAACCACAATTAAAAATGACGATTATTGAAAAAAAAACACAATTATACTATAAATACTTTCTCAACCGTTAGAATAAAATCTACTATGAGATCAGACTCCAGGTAGAGAAATCGAATTCTCTTCATTAAACATTTATTAAGGCAAAGGAAGAGAAATTATTAATGTTAACTAAAATTAACTTCTAATTTTGAGCTCTCAGAGCAGAGAATTCCACACGTTTTTTTTTTGCTTAATGAACTGCTACAGCTACAACACCCATGTTTTTTTTTGCGAAATTTCGCTTAGATTTCTCATTTTACGCTTCATTCATTTTCACGAAAAAATGCGAAATTTGGCTGGAAACTGTAGATTAGTTAAAAGATTTTTAAATATTGCAATTTGTTGCGTATCTCCATTTTGACCTTTCTACGGTAACCTCATGGCCTCGAGAATACAAATCTCAATTATGTTTGACATTTTTAATTTTACTTTTGAGGGAAGACAATTTTTGGAGGAAAGCCAAGACAAATAATTTTAAACGATGTTTTTAAAAAAGTTTTAACAAAATAAAGCCCGGCGTTGCCCGAAGTATTTTAAAAACACATTGAAAAAAATCAATTTTTTAGCCTATGTCACCCCTGGGGTAAGTTTTTTGGTTCAACCGTTTGGCCAGCTATACATATACATACAGTGGTAGGCGATTATATTAATACAATAAAGACGACTTTTTTACTAAAGTTTTGATTAATAACAAGTTTGAGTTACAAGTTTAAAAGTAATCAAAGAGATGCTTTTTTAATTGATAGCTTCTCTTGACATTTAGGGTAATGTGTCTCCATACTATTTAACAGCTTGATATAAATCAAAATTAAAACCGAAAGTCGTCTTCGTTATATTGATATAAACGCTTAAGTAGCTGAAGCGCCCGCCGTTGCTCGTAAAATTTTAGAAAAACTTGTAAATAAAATTCGAATTTCGAAAAAAAAAATTTGAATTTTGAAAAAAAAACCAGCTTCAACGATATTGTGTATAACGACTTAGAGTCAAGTGGTATAGGGTAAAACGACCTAGGTTCAACGACAAACGGTCAAAAACGCAACAAAGGGTAAAACAACAAAGGGTCAAAATGGAAAAGAATATGGTATGCATTATTTCAGGGTTAGATTAGGTAAAGACAATTTTTGGGCCCAGCGCAGGTCTTGTAGGTCGAATGAACATAAAACATAACATACTAATATTTATTATATTAGGGTTCAGGTTGGTTAAGACAATTGCTAGGGGACCGAGCGCTGCGGCTAATAGTTCTAATGAACATAAATTAGTTCAAATTAATCAAAAATTTCTAAATGGAATTTTGTCGCAGTTTTTGACCCTTAATCGTTTTACTCTTTGTCGCGTTTCTGACAGTTTGTCGTTGGAACCAATGTCGTTGAATCAAAAATTTGTAATTTAAAATTTTAAAGTTCCCGGTGTTGCGTTGTCCGTGAAATTTGTTTAGTCTATGTTACCTCAAGGCTATCCATGGGCTTCCTCAAAAAATTTCAGCCCATTTGGTCCAGCTGTTTGACCAGCTATAGCTTACATATAAACATATAAATATATCAATATGAGGGTAGAGCTTTTTTTATTTAGATAACTCACGTATTCTACTTTTAGCCGTAGACATGGAAATTTTAACTTAATAATAATTATATTTAGAAAAATAATGAATTAGGGTTTCGTAAATAAAAACATTTTGATTCTTGCTTTTAAAAAAGCTTAAATATACAGGGAAATTAGAAAATCTTGAGTATTTCAAAAATATTGGTTTTACTGTTTATTTACCTCAAAGAAACAAATATATTTTACTAAATAAAAAATATCAAATTGATTTTTATCGAAGCTAAATGAAATTAAATGAATTCGGGAATGCATGACATGTTGTCAGAGAATTGATTTAGAGGAAATAAAATTATTTTCAAGAAATTTTTTTTCTATAAAAAATGTTCCAGGGCCCAAAAGGTTCTAATTAGGACACATGTGTTAACTGTGAAGTCCACCTGATATGGAAGTATTACAACAAAATGTTGGTTTAACACTTTTTTCAAGTTAATTCCACTCTATATTAATTTATTCTCTTTGGCTGCAATAAACATGAGAATTAAGTGACGATTTAAAGGTCGTCTTTAATTTAATGATATCTATTTTGCTATAGCGATGCTACTAGGAAAGCTATAATCCAAATCATAGAGGAGAAAAAAATAGTATTAAGTTAAAAAAAAAAGTTTTATAGAGTGTATATTCTGTTGGGTGACAAGGATTGCAATGAACTGCCGGAGAATACACTTTAAAATTCCTTTCGGGGTGGAAAGCAGTAAAATAATAGGGACGGACTAGGATATTATTTTAACAAACAAGACAAATGTAGGATTAAAAATTCCGCTCCTGGGATTTAAAATGTACTTTTTAGTTATAAAATATGTAGATTTAGTTCAAACTACAGATTTAAGAAATTAACTAAAGATTGTAGAACTTGCAGTTGTTTTTAAATGGAATATTTTCAAGCGTTGAATTCACAAATTTCAACGGTATTAAAACAATGCTAAGCTCCCCCCCCCTTCTAAAAAAAAGAAACATAAACACGAGAAAAAAATGTCTTAAATTTTCNCCCCCCCCTACAATCATTTCACCATTTTTTAATGTAATAATTACAAAGAAATGGAAAATTTACAACTTCGTTTTTTGAATAAATTAGAAATAACTCCAAAAAAAGTGAATATTATTTCTATGAAAGTCGATGAAACCATTTGATTTACATTATATTAGAAAAAAAGCCTTTCAACTTAGAATATGTTATTGTAACGGATTGCAATATTTAAAGACTTTTATGAGAATGTATTTAAAATTCTTTCTAAAAAGTTTAACTCAGACTTTTCGCTTGAATTTTTTTTATGGGCTTGGAAACTCATTTTTGGGACAGATACGTTAAGCAGGTATAAAAGAAATAAAAAACTGACTAAGACAAAAATTATGCTGACAGACAGGTCTGAATAGATTAATATAATATATAAATAAATTAATATTATATACATGTAAATAGATTAATATAATATGTATTTTTCATTGATGGAAGGGCAGAAATACGATTTTTTTAGGGGGTAACCTCGCGAAATTTCTGTTTTCCTTCTTATTTCCTAGCTTTTTTCTCTCTCTCTCTGTCCATGCTCAGACAAGATGAATCTAGAATACCTACTAAAAATGAAGGTAACATTAGCAGCAGGTCTAGAGGGGGATCCAACAAAAAGGAAAGGCGGAAGTTGGTCAGATATCCGTCTGCTATACACAACGGGAATCAAGAGAAACATCAAGATCAAAATACTATAAAATAGTTGAGGCATTGAAAGCTCAAGATCGTGTCCCAGAAGAGGCATTGATCGTTCACGAGATTGTATCCTAATTGATCCATTGTTAGTTTACGAGATTGTGTCCTAGGTGAGGCATTGATAGCTCAAGATTGTGTCCCAGAAGATGCATTGATAGTTTACAAGATCGTGTCCCAGAAGAGGCATTGATAGTTTAGAAGATCGGGTCCTAGNGTTACTGATCATTTGATGGTTTCAAGGGTACCTTTGTAAATCAGGCATTGTCATTAATGCATGGAGGGTCACTTGACAATACGCTTACAGTCACTTTAACCAATCTACATTGGAGACTGGAGAGACCCTATCTTGTTTTCTATTAAGCTAAACTGAAATGCAATAAGCAGCAGCACTAACCACACACTTAAAATTGTTAGAACTGTTATTTCCAGATTTAAAAATATTGAAATATTTTCATATTTAAAAATATTCAAATATTTTTATATTTAAAAATATTTAAATATTTTCAGATTTTAAAATATTTAAATATCTTCATATTTGAAAATGATTTTTACCGGATTTTGAAAATTAAAATTTGAAAATAGCACAAATCAGAAATTTATCTGAAATATTTCTGAATTATTTCTATAACATCTTTGAAATATTGCTGAAATATCCCTGAAATATCTCTGAACTATCGCTAAAATATCTTATAAATATTTCAATAATATCTCTGAAATATCGCTGAAATATCGCTGAAATATTTCTATAATATCTCTGAAATTTGTTTTTTAACTGCAAAGATCAATATAATCACAATGACAAATGTTTCCAATTTTTCTTTCCTTTGTCGGTATTTTTTCAAATTTTTTTAGGGGGGGTAACATGTTTTACATTTAATCAGTAAAAAAGCCTTCCTATGGTCATGAAAAACAAAGAACTGGAATCCTATCTATTCAACCGTTTATTGGATACAACTACTATAGAATTTAAGTTTTATTC